TATATGAAAGTCCAGTACGCCATCAACAGTGGCGATTACAATCACAATTGGTCCTATTAGACATGGCCGAGCCTCAAACCTTACCCTAACCGTAACTCGAACCCCAGCTCGATGCGTACCCACAGGCGAAAGCAAAGTCGTCCTGTGAGGTTTCAAGAGAACGGCCGTGATCAGAAGACAATTTTTCGGTCAAAAATATGGTCATCGGACAAGTGAAGATCTTAAAACGAGAAGAGGATTTCTAACTGGAAAAGAATATATATATATATAACGTCACTCTTATAAAATCTTATGGGTATTTTAGTAATTTAAGGTAACAATGTGAGGGTATTTCAGTAATTTGACAGGTCCGTTAGTATATTGGATGGTCCGTTACACATAAGGGAGGTCCGTGTAGTATATTTTCATTTTTAGGGGAGGTCTGCATAATTTCTGAAACATGAAGGGTGCTGCCTGTAATTATGGCAAACCATAGGGGTAGTCTGTGTAAATTACCCCTTAATAAAAAGTCACCTATATGAGTATGAAGTGGGGCCGCTTTTATGAGAACTTCTAAGGCTAAGTATTTTAGAGCACTTATGAAATACCAGGAGTTGTTCAGGGCCATATAAACACAACCGTGAGAACCGACCTTGTGCGGGAAGGAACTGTGTGTTTGCTATTGTCTTGATTTATATCAATGGTTGAACAGTTCAAAACATCATGTTTACTGGTTAGCCAGTAAATACGATAGTAATACACTAGGGAAGGTTCAAGGCTAAAAACTACCTATCCCGATGTAGTTATTTTCCAATAGTACTCTCTTCAGTGTCTGTATCTTCTTCATTTGCAATTTACGTAAATTTCCATTCATGTGGGGGATTCTTAGAAACGGAGGCATTAAAAACATAAACTTTGGATGAGATTTTGAATAGATTTCGCTTATAATTTTTTGTGGATCTATAGACGAGCGCGTTCTTCTCCGCAAGGAGATGAATATGGTATATTTACTTTCTCAAATCCGTTTCCGGGTGAATGAGAAATTAGCTCCAAAGTAAGGTGTTTAATAAGCCTAAATGGGTTTGTAAAATGTGAGAAGTATTTGTCCCACATCGGAAAAATATTAAAACCAAAAGGCACCATGAGGCTTATATAACCCCCCATTGGGTTCATTCTAAAGCACTCTAATTCAGAATCATTTTCTCTAATTCTGAATTCACTATTTCCTCCCACTTCTTCTATAAGTGTCTGTGGGTATGAGCCTTGTCTTTGGGTTCGAGCTTTAGTCAGTCGCTCCGAGTCTAAGTTTGAGTCAGAGAGTACTATACTGAGCCGGTTCGCCTATTCCTTTAGTTTGCAGTGCTACTACCGAAGGAAGTAAAAGTAGTTGTATTATGAGAGATAGACGCCACTGAGTCTGTTAGCACCATAGCGGGGCAAATCTGTCTTAAAGACATAGAATCAAATTCTAGCCTCGACTTATTTTCATGTTTTTTTTAATTTAATTTAATTTAATTTTATAAGATATTATATATATAGATTATTATTTATATTTTATAATAATAATTATATATACACACACACATTATATTTATGCATAATATTTAAATAGTAATACTATAGTGTATGGTATACTTAGACCATATTTTGGATAACACAAACAACTATATTCCATGCAAAATAATGTTGGGTTATCTCAAGTGAGGGTATGCCTTCACGTAAAGTAATAATAAAATTACTTTATTATGACATAAAAATCAGGAGTTGAAAATAAAACACTCTCTTGTGCATATGAAAGTAAGGTGCATACTACATGCAATCAAACTCTTTCTTGCAAAGTGACTCGGAATCTCACAGGGAGACTTTCTATTGAGCCTTTTTCGAGAGGTAAGGATGCATAGTTTTGGCATTCCAAATTGGACATGAAATATAATAGATATTGCCCACTAAGGTTTATTGTTTCTTTTTTTCCCACCATTTAAACTTAAAAATTAAATTTCACCCTAGTATATTATAAATAATATTGCTCGCAATTCTATCACAATAAATGGCTTCATCACAAAAATTGGAAACCATTTCTTAAATGATGGCATAGTAGAGCATCTCCAATGGCTCTTTAGAATTAGGCTCTCCGAATTTGTCACATCAATATTTTTCAATAACCAAGACAGCGTTTTAGAGTATCCAAATTTTAGCTATCGGATGTAGATGCATTTTCGCTCTCCAAAAATTTTAATATTTTTTAAATTTTTAATAAATTTTATTTTAAAAATTTTTCCTAACTGATTATATTTTTAAAATGGCTATATCATACAAAAAAAATTAAACAATACAATATTTATTATGAATTATAAAAATAAAAAATAATACAATACGACTTGAATTTTCAAAAAATAATAATAATATAATACCATTATTAAAATCAACTAGGAAAAACAGAACAACTAGGAAAAATAGAATAATCATATGGAATGCTTGAGATAATCCTATGGAAAGCTTGAGTTACCATGTGAGCATATAGATTTTAATATTTCATTTTAGGGTTCAATTAGCCATGCTTTCCCTGCTTGTGTTGGCATCGATTCTGGATCTTTTTGCATGATCAACATCTGTTCAGCTCTTTGTTTGTTTTCTATCTTTCTTAGTTTGCTTTGAAGCTCGAGTTATCTGGCTTTTCTTTATCTGCTTTGCGTGCCTCTCATGCTATTTGAGCGGCTTCAAGACTTTCAAATTTAGGTTGATAAAGGGTTATTGCATGATCGAATTCGTTAATGAAATCATTCTGAATTTGGTAAGAACATTTATTCTTATTTTGCCTCTGCTTCGTTGCTTTTCGTCCTTGTGGTTGCTGACATTCTTCAACATCCGTCGGATCTTTTTCACCTATGTGTGCCAATCCTTCAACTGAACTTGGTGTCATTGTTGCATTACTTGATGGAGTAGATGTGTTTGAATAAACAATAGGCTCACTATCCTCAATGTGGATTCCACTCCCCTTCTTTGGTTGTTGTTTTTTTTTTTGGATGTCAATTCTTTTTGACAATGTAAATACCATTTATTGTTGCTCTTCAAAATGTTTCAACAACTGTCAAACTTAAATTTAGTATTATTTTGACGAGCGAACAACTTTTCGGCTACTATCATCTAAAAAACTAAAAATCAATAATTATTAGAAGACAAATCTTTAAAATATCTATCAATTAAATTTAATATAATAAATAACTTACCTTGTACTCATTGTCTTACCCACTAGGGTAATTCCTTTCGATATGGGCCATGCATCCAGAAAATTTGGTAATCATTTGTTGCATAAAAGACTAACTATTCAAACAGACGTTATGTTTCTTTTAGGTGTACTAGCACCCCTAACTTGTTGCTTGAAACTTTCATAAATTTGGCTCTATAACGCTGTCTTTTGTTGGTCTGAATCGATGACCGCATCAGTGTTAATGGCCATCCACGGATAACATAAAGCCTTATCTTCAATCGTGGACCAATTAGGAAACCGAATAACCCTTTGTTTTTTCGGAGGTTGGGAGTTACTGGATTGTGGCACTTCAGTAGGAATGTTGGAAATCTGAGAAGGTTGATGAGACGGAAATTGAAATTCTTCTCTAACAAATAAAAATGGATCAAAATTATCATTTGATTGGTTGAATTGGGAGTTGTAGTTGTAATATGGTGGTGGATGATCATGGAATTGAACTTGAGTAAAAAATATAACTAAAAGATTGAGAAAATGACTTAGTGGTTGTAGTTGTAGGTTGAAAACTAGAGAGGATGTGTTGGATATGAGGTAAATAATAGTAGGGGTTGATGTATTTATTGAGGAAAAATGAAAAGTTTATATATATATATATATATATATATGTATATATATATATATATAATTATTTTTAAAAAAATAAAAAAATACGTTTTTGTGTCAGTATAGCCGTTAAGGCACTCTTTGGGTCAGCCAAACAGTGCTTAAAACGGTTATAATGTCAGTAAGAATATTTTAAAAAGTAAAGTTATTTTAAAAAAACACTTTTCTCTATTTTTTTTAAACTTTTTTTTTGCCCAAAAAAGCCTTTAAGGCACTGTTTGTGTCAGTCAAATAGTGCCTTAATGGTTCTTTGGTTCAATTATTTTGAAGAAAAAAAAAGGAAAAAGATACCAAAATAAGCCAAAAATATGATTTTTACCTTCTATTTTAGCCAAACATGCCCTTAAGAATAGTGTTCTGGGCTAAAATAGTGTTCTGGGCTAGAATTATAAAAAGAAAAGAAATAGAGGCAGGCCTGCGGCTCACTGAAAATCGCGACCCATTGGATGGGACACATTTTTTGGAAACTCTATTGGGGCAGTCCAATAGCAAAAAAAGGCCCAGAATTTCTAAATTATGAGGCATTGGAGCTACTCTTAAGGCCATGTAATGCATGCTAGAGAGGGCTTTCTAGATATTTTGCTTTATATATATATATATTTTATTTCTTTAAAAAAAATTAATTATACAGAGTAGTTTAGTAAATGCACTATAATATCGAACAAAAAGTGATCTGCTCATTTCGTAAAACAAAAGGAAGTTGTTTTTTTTTTTTTTATAAAAAAAGCGCCCTACATTTATCTTTAAAAAAAAAAAAATTATTGCTATATACAGATATATTTTCTCGCCTCTTAATATTATTTTTATTATTAATTTTTTTGTCCTTTATTTATTCAAAGGAAGCCATAATTTTCAATTTTATCAACCAATATTAAATTCGCTAAAAAAAAAAAAAAAAACCCAATATTAAATTAGTACGGAGTAATATACATATATATAGACACACACACAAACGGACTATATTTTTTATTCATTAATCAAGCGAACGGTGAAATGGTAAAACTTTCATTTCTTTTCTCTATCTCTTCTATTTTATTATCGTCCAAACGTAAGCTGATAGACACACGACACTGATACCCAAACCTCTGTGCTAAAACCCTAGTTTATCTCTCTTCACGTCTCTCTCTAACCCCTACCATCGCCACCGCTTCTCATGGCGCTCTGCTCTATTCGTCTCCGCCGAGCCCTGACACTCTCTTCCTCTCTCATCAATCATCACCGACCCTTCTCCTCAATCCCTGCAATCTCCGGATCACCTTCTCTCTCCTCACTCACTCCCAACTCTCAAAATCGTCGGCTCGATCCATCTCTACCACGCCTCCTCGGCCCTCCATTTCACTCCAGACCTTTCATATCAACCGCCGTCTCTCTCGCACGGCCCAGGTCGTTCGACAACGGCAACAGTGAGATAGGGCCGGACTCGATTCTGTTCGAGGGATGTGATTACAATCATTGGCTCATTACCATGGACTTTCCGAAGGACCCAGAACCCACTTCTGAGGTGAAGGTTGAAACCTACGTTCAAACAGCAGCCAAAGTGTTTGGAAGGTGAGATTTTCCCTTTTTTTTTTTTTTTTTTTTTTTTTGTTTTTTTTTTTTTGGTTTTTTTTTTTTTCTTTCTCATTTTATGTGTAGGGAAATGTTTGTTATATTCATTGTTTAGTTTCCGAGAAGAATATGGAAGTTAATAGGAATTGATTTTTTTTTTTTGAATAATGTTTTGTTTGTTTTATTTACAAAGACCAAGTGCTTTTGAATGAGTGAAGGGTTTTGATTTACAGGGTGTTATGAGATTCATTTTCGATTTACAGGGCGTTATGAGATTCATTTTCTTGTCATTTCTTCATTTTCCAGACGACCAAACAGAGTTCATGGTGAATTGGACTGTATTGTTTGTATTGTGTTAGGATTGGTTTGTAAGTTATTGTTTTTGTTCCAGATAATTACTTATGAAAGCTAAAAGAATTAGATGTTCTTTAATCATGTGTTTTCATGTGTAAAATTTTGGATTATTTTTATGGCAATATTGACAAATGGGATATTGGTAATTTTCTTGGCCGAGTAGGTGTATAAGCCTCAGTTTGGCTGACTGTTTTATCTTTTTTATTTTTGTTTTCATTTGGTCATTGTAAAAATTTGGATTTGTTTGATTTCTTCAATTTAGTAAGTTTTGAAGATAAAAATGACACATTCTGAAAACTCAAATTTTCTTTTGTAAGTTTGAATATATTTACTTTTTTCTATGGTAGTGCTTTTCAAAGGAGCTGATTGATAAAACAGTACTCAATATTTCCTTCATTTCTCTCATTTCCTTTGTCTTTTGTTGTCCAGAAACCATTGATGAATGTGCATGTTTTCTGAATTGAGTTATAAGATATTGCGCTCCATATGATGTTGCCCTCTTTGTGGGTTAAGACTAGTATTTAGTTGATAATATCCTTACCAATACAGATTAGAAAAAAGTGAAAAATATGATGAAGGATCTTTAATCTCAGCACTGAAAGTGAGTAATTACTTCTAGGGAAAAAATGATGTTAAGGGCTTGAGACTTGAGAGAGAGATGGAGTAAAAGAAGTCAAAATTGGAGGAAGAAGCCTTGGAAATTGCGCCTAAGTTCTTAGGCACTCCCGCGTAAAGAAAGATGCTACACATATTGGAAGCAAGAGGATGGAGAAGAATTATTCAAAACAAGTCCAATAAACTGTGTATATAGAGGACTTTAACAAAAGGAACTTAGTGATCAAGCAGATTTGGTGGCTGAGTAGTTTTGGTGGTTGAGTTTGACACTTCGTCAGTATATATATAAGCCCAGAATAAAAAAAATTCCAACATGGCGCCAAATGAAAGATCATCACAAATCACAAGTGATAGGCTTACAAAAATTTCATTTCATACTAAAAGATAAAGTGGATTTATCTTTTTTAGATTGGATTGGAGTTTGTAGACCAGGGAACTTGATGACCAATTCAACTTGGTGGCCGTTTGACTAAAAGACTTCTTTCATAGGTCAAAGTAATTCTCGAAAAATACCAAGGCTAAGCTACCAATTTACAAAGAAAGTATACATAAGCAGGCAAAAAGGAAGAAACAGTAACCTGTAACCTAAATTATTGCCTAGACAACATAAACCAGAAAACTAACAAGGTCCTTGAAAGAATCAAACACCTTGCTGAAACCCTCTTCCAGGCCACTAGTCATTAACCTCCTTCAAACAAATTTAGATACCTCGGCTTCAAACATATAAACTTTCCGATACTACTTATCCCTTCATTATATGTAATTTCTTAATTTTGCTCATTCATTTATACCTAGACCCCCATCTTCTTTAGCCCATCACTCCCATTGATCCCAATATGCAATCTATATGACTGAGTAAATTCACGGTTTCAGACTCAAACTCCTCGTATGAAAGATCTAGAAATATTCTCACTTTCTTAGTACTCTCCAACACAGGCATTTTTTTTATTATATATATAGATCCTCATGGCCAGGGACCCATTTTCTTGTAGGAAAATTCCCTTCAAATATTCATGTCAAATCACTAGTAAAATATTGTCACCAGTAAATCACTGCTGGTGTTATTGGTTTTTATATCCTTTATTTTGCAATTATTACTGGGACCTCTTCCAGTTACGTGCTTTGGATATATTGCACACCTCTGCCTGCTGTCGGTAGTTTACTGGGTGTAGCTGTTATTTTGTGTGATTAATACTGACAGTTATACTGCTCAAATTTCATTGACATTAGATTGGTACAGTATAATCTAAGCAGCTTGTAGTTTGACTTCTGCTGTGGCTTAAGATTTCCATGTTGATTAAGTTGTAAAATTGTATTATTACGTCAATACATTGTGTATGGTTGCCGCTCATTTCTGGCAATATAGGTTGATTATTACTTTATAGTGTTTGGATCTCTGGCATACAAATAATTGAGATGAATTTGGTTTAATCGTATGTTTGCAGTGTGGAAGAGGCAAAAAAGCGAATATATGCATGTAGTACATCCACCTATCACGGTTTCCAGGTTGAGGCGTCAGAAGAAATGTCAGAAAAGTTTAGAGGTACGCGTCCATACATTTGACCATAAAATTGAGGGTGATTTTGGCTCCTGATTCTGATATTCAAGCTTTGCTGTAATCAGGATTGCCTGGAGTTGTATTTATATTACCAGATTCCTACATTGATCCTGTAAACAAAGAGTATGGAGGTAGGAAGTTTACTTTACAGTTGGTTACTTTTATATTTTGGTTTTACTGATCAAAATGAATAATTAATGAGTGTTACATTTTGGTTTTGCTGATGAAAATAAATAAGCTCTCATATTTTTCTATTCATTTTGGATTCAAATCTTTGTGCTGTATATATATTAGGAGACAAGTACATTAATGGAACCATCATACCGAGACCGCCTCCAGTTCGTTATGGGAGGCAATGGGGAAGATTCAATGATCGAAATAGAGGTTTTGACCGACGGCCAAGTGGTCCAGCACCAAATCAACAAGGCAATTCGGCATATGACAACCGGGGATCCATGCGTGGTGAAACAGGGACCTATGGGCCACAACGAAATTTTACGCCACAGCAAAACTATGTTCCCGCTGGACCAGGAGAAAGAAGAGGGCCTATGCCACTAAATAATGCCCCTGTAGGAAGGGACACTTATCAGGGGGATAGAAGAGATTCAATGCCTTCATATCAGGCCAATAACAATCAAGGGGGACAGGGAAACTATCATCCGCAAGGGCAAAGGGATTTTCCACCAGGAAATCAGGGGGACCATATGCCTCCTGAGCAGAGAGATTTCCGAGGAGACAATAGGAATTATTCACCTTCACAAGGTGGAACTATTGGGCAGGGAGCGAGTGGCACTCACATACAAGGAGCTAGTGGACCTTACATGCAAGGACCAGGCGGAACCCAAGGAGTTGGCGGATCTCCTGGGCAAGAAATGGATGCTGGCTATGGGCAGAGTTACCCGAGGCATGGAGGAGATCAGAGGTTCTCACAGCCGGAGCAAAGGAACCATGCAGCCATGGAACATACATGGACAGACCAAGTAAGATATCTTTTATTTCAATTATTACTTCACAAACCTGGTTATTCTTACAGTATTGGTAGTCAGTCAAGATTCAGCTAACATATGTTAGAAAATTTGAAATCCTTAATATATTCCTTCATTGTTCAAATGTTACAAGAAGTTGAACATGAATATTACTTGATAGGTTAAATCATCAAGCAAGCTCCTTAGTGAGAGAAATTAAACGCTCCATGATAGCATGAATCTGTATTAAAATGGGATCAGATGGCCCATTTTAATTAGTATAAGGGTATCAATTTGATAAGGCTGCTCATCCCACATGCATTAAGGTTCTCTGTTCTCGTGGTATTTTCTTGAAGTTTCGCCCCTTCTTTTTTACTTTTGTAGAAAAGGACATTATTCAAGTCTGATCCGGTCAAGGCATGTTTTTGCGGAATGCGGTAATCCTGAACTTTGGTATTTTTATAATATGTTTTAGTAAAAAACTTTTAACTTCATGGATGTGATAAGAGTGATAATGTAAGAAAATGCAATATGGATAACATATAAGATTCTTCATGAGAAGAGTTTTACCATAAAAAAAATAAAAAATAAAAAATAGAATATTCATGAGAAGAGATATAATCCTAACCTATTTAGTTGTCACTTATAAGAAAGGAGTGTTTTTTGGTGTGCGACTGTGTAGAAGAGGATATGAATCTTTGCTTTCAAATGATGTCAACTTCTTGTGGGGAGGGGTCAAAATTTGAGTAAATGTATTTCCTCATATTTTACAAGTTTATGTGAAAAAAGGATGAAATTATTCTCCCTTTTTTTTTTTTTACTCTCCGTCTCTCTCTCTGTGCTTTCAAATGAATGGCAACTTTTTGCGGGGAGGAGTCAAAATTTGAGTAAAAGTGTTTCCTCAGTTTCATTTGTTCTTCACCTCACTTATTTTATGAGTTTATGTGGAAAAAGGATTAAGATATTTTGTGTTCGTGTGTGTGTGTGTGTTTTTTGCTCTCTCTCTCTCAAGTGCACACACAAGCACAATCATATCATTTGTTAGTGTGTTAATTCTATGAAGTTGTAGCCGTTATTTATTCACACAACTGAACTGCGATATCTGACAATAGGTTAAAGTGATGTTTTTCTATTGCTTGTAAAACAATTTATTTCTAAACACATTATCTTTATTTATTTTTCATTTCTTTCTTTGAAGAATTAGTCTGATATACTATTGCATTATTTGTCTCTCTAGTTTTAATGGCTAATCTTTTGTTTTGATAAGTAAGCATTTAATGGCTAATCTAAATCACAAAGTGTGCCTATCTAATAATAAATTAATAGAAGAAGAATCTTTTCAAGTTCATTAAGATAGAACCCTATGAGAAGAAATGAAAATTTGATCATCTGATTGTGCCTATCTACAAAATGAAAAAAAAAAAATACTAGAGAGATCTTCTACCATCGAATTGTACCTCGATCATCCCTTCTAGATAGATATCACATAATGGTATTATTTATTCAAAATTTCACCCAATTGTAAATAGTTCATTGACATATTAAAATTCCTCCTCTCTTCTTCAATAGTTTAATTGTATTGCAGTTCAATTCACCCTGCACCTAAATGTTAACCCTTCTCTCCCTATTCTTGCCTTGAAGGACTCGGGTGAGAGGCATGACCTTGTTTACGTGGTAGCTTCTCAAGGAGACACGGACAGTTTGGAGCTTCCTCTATTTAGTACTTTTTTTGGGTGTATGTCTATTGGTGTATTTTTTGGATTATTAAAATGACTTAAGCAGGCAAAGAATTTTAAAGCTAGAATTATCATAGAAATGAAATGAACAGGCCCTGGAAGTGATATCCATGAAGACCAGTAGTTTTTCTGTATGGACAATCAATGGAAGGCCTACTTTGAAGAAGATATAGAAGTTTTTCTGCTTTTTTCAACTGCACCAGTTGAAAAGCTTTCTTTAGCAAAGGTATCATATCACCTGAGAACGAATTTGGAAGTATGCTTTCCCTTGAATTAGTCTCTAGTGGATGCTTGGTGCAATTGTAGAAGGCTTGAATTAGTCTCTAGGGGATGCTTGGTGCAATGATAAAAGCTTGGGACCTTGGGTTGACAAACGTGAGAAGTACTTGTTCGAGTCTAAAAGCAGCTACTTTTTGCATTATAAAATCAAAATTGGGTCTGTCTCCAGATTGTCATGCTTGTCACCTTGTGTAGGTCGAGGGCTAGTACTAAATCATAGCTTTTTGTTGATGGTGTCACATTGCAAACTTCTGTGAAAATTAATAGTTCTACTAATTATCTTTCATGATGCCCCTTTTACTTCATGACCTCGGGCAAAGTTTGTTGACCATGTTTGTTTTGATTTTGCAGGGAAGATATTAAGAAGATTTGAGCTGCATAGTGAGATGATGGGAGGTTATATACTAGAAAGCCATTGAAGGTGATGCAACCGCTTCACATCTCCATACCAGCTCATCAATCAAGGGACAAAAAAAAGAAAAAGAAAAGAAAAGAGGACATAAATAAAAACCTTTCTTAAGGCTTTTCATGGTAAATAGTATCCGGTTGTCTTTTTGTGTTACTTGTAGTGACTCGCAACTCAAAATGAACTTACAACTGTGATGCTGCTGAATCATGTGCAACGATGTGGATTGTGATGTTCACTAATTTAACCTTCACCTAAGAGTTGCAAGAAAACATGCTTTGACCTATGTTTTATCTGGTCTGTTCAGTTGATGAACCCAGCTTTTGAGTTCGTGGTGCACGAAGAGTGATTTGGTGTCTGAAGTATCTACTATGACAATGGTTTACTGTTTAAATTTTTTATTTTATTTTTAAAATTTTCTCCTGAAGTCCGTTATTGATATTGTTGATTGCTTCTTTTGTTAGGGTTCTTTGTTTTTTTTTTTTAGTCTGCAAAGCCAGCGCTAGATGATGTCATGCGCGTCTTTCGTTTGCAGGAACCCAATCTGTTGTAGTTCAAAATGGGGGAAAAGGACCTCAATGGGATTATCCTAGTGATGAATTTGAAAAGATTGGATTTGGCTATATTATTAGTTTCGGGTCATGGCTTGGTTTTGGATCTCAACAGTCCCATAGATGGATTTTAGAGTCTTATTTTGTGATTAAAGTTTAAAAATTTTCATTTCCGCAACACCAAATTAAGCTTTAATTTGTATTCTTTCATTACCTTTTCTTTTTTCCTCACTAGATTTTTAAGTCACATCTAAAACATTAAAAATTTGACGACTATATACTAAAATAATCTATGTAGTGTCAATCTAATATGGATTTCCATTCAAACACAACTACTACTCCAAAATTTCAATTTATAACTTTTTTGTTTTTCTTTTCCTCTTTACAGAAAGCTTTCAGAATGCATGGGGATACTTGAACTTCCTATTTTTCATGTTGAACATGGAAGAGATTACATTAAGATTGCGTTTGTTCCGTTGTTTTGACGTAAAATATTTTTTTTAAAAAATATTTTTTATTTTGTTTTATTTTATTTTTTATTTTTACATATTCGATGTTCGGCAAAAGTCTAAGTTGAGGTTAATGTTGAGTTTATCAGGCGGGACATGTAAAATAATTTATTAAAAATTGATCGTTAAGTTATATTTGTTAGATTTTAATATTTTTTTTTCTTAGTAAATATTTTACAACAAGAAATAAAAAAATATTTTACACCCAAACAAACAGAACCTAAAAGGAGAGAAAATTTCATGAAGTCGTAGATCTGAAAACAATCACTATTTTATTTTTTCTTATATCGGACATAATTTTTTTTAGGCGAGAATTATATCTAGTGAAAAAAAAGAAAGAAAGAAAAAAAAAACAGAATTATTTAACTTGTGATTGAGAGTACTAACATTATTGTTAGTACTTAGTACCCATTGAACTTTCCAGATCTGACGGCTGTCATATATTCTCCGAAAAAGTTAGTTATTTTGTTTTTGTTTTCTTTCGGAAAATAAAAATATTTATTTTGGTTTCAACTTTAAAAGCACAAAAGCAGCCTCCTCTCTCCTCTCAAGTCCTTAAAAGAAAAGAAACAATGGCTTCCATACGTTGTCCGAGATTTCCCGCCAAATTAGCTTGTGGATGTGGCTGTGGCACTCTCTCTTCGAGAAGAAGCAACACATTATGCTCATCTCCTCTCCGCCATTTCCCTGTCGCTCTGTTTCTGATCCTCCGATTGTCACCTCTCTTCTTCAGGTATCGCATTAGCCCCTTCTCTCTCTCTCTAAATTAACGTCACTGATGTTGAAATGTAAAAGTGGATTTCGCATTCTTTATTATGTTGTATCTTTTTCTTCTTCAATCTGTAGATTTTGTGTAATGGCTGATATCATGTATGAATTTGATTTTTTTTTTTGGATATATCTATATATATACATATATAATTTTTCTTGACATTCTAGTGGCTATATTGAATAATTTTGTTATTTGGGTTTCAAGACTGGTGTAGAAAATTGAATAATCATGCTTGCTGGTTTCACATTTTTCTTAACCAGAAAAGTCTTAAGGATCTTGTTCAAATAGGATCTAAGAAAGTATTGAGAAATAAAAGGAACCAACCACACAATCATACAAAGTTGCATAAAATGCATTATTGAGTCAGTTACCAAGGGACATCCCATAAGGATTGGATTTCATTGAGAAATTGAATATGGGATAATGTAAAACCTGGATCACAGTCCCCTCCTTCCTCCAATACATCTTAACAATGAGAAAATGACTCAAAATAAATGGATAAGAAGGAAGAAAAACTATAAAATCGCTAGATTGCCTTAACGATGGAACTTTTAATAAATGCGAATGACCCAATGTTGGTCCTGCCAACATGGACTGTTTGGAGGAATTGAGTGGAGACAAACTTGACATTTGGAATTATTTTTCACAATGAGGAAACTATTCATGAGGCACGTAAGGTAGGACAATGGTTAGCTTTATGATTATTTATCATTTGATGGAAATGACAATCAACTCATATTCCATATATTTTATAGAACAGGCACATAGTTGTTCCAATTATTTATTACACTTACAGTGGATTACATGCTTATGTTTTGATTCAAACTTCATTCTACATTGGGATGGTCAACAATCTTCCTATAATTCTTTGTTCAGTACGTTTATTAATTATTTTCATGGTAGGAGCATTTTTTTTTTTTTTCTTGAGATTTTGAGACTTATTCGTTTTAAGTACTAAAAGAGTTTTTCCCCCCCTCGCCCATTGTAAAGGAATTATGGCAATGCTTTGCATCTATACAATCATCACCCTTGGTATCTTTTTTATATAAAATTAGTATTACTTTTTCTTGTCTGCTTCCTTTGGCCAGTGTAAACATTTTACTCACCATTGCAAACATGAATTCACTTATATGCATGGCTATGTCTGTGTCATTATTGATCTGTCTACAATGTCGACATGTGAGTGCTTACATATGTATAAACATCAAGTGCATTACCCAATGTATGCCTTACATATGCAGGGTGCCAGGAGGAGAAGATCAGAGACAGACCTAGCATTTGCAATTCTTTTGCAAAAATTGGCTGCTCTTAGACTCAAACCCGCGTCCTCACGCTTGTGAGTTTTAGTTTTTACCATTGCAGCAAGGAATGACCCATATATATGTATATACACGGTTCTGTTAGTAGGTGGTTTTTGATCTCATTTTTCTGTACCTCTGTTCTTTTTTATTTTTTTCTCGATATTTCAGTGGCTGGCCAAATTTTAGATAAGTTCCATCATATTGGGGCCCCTAAGGAATGGTTTTGTACAAATGCATTTTGGGACTCATGTTTCAGCTTGCAAGGGATGTTCAGTCATGATGATGATGAAGGGTATCTATCTACGTAAAATTTATGAAGCGCTTCATTTTAGCAGTGAAACATATGAACTTTGTAAATAGGCATCGATCATAGACTTTGCAAATAGACAGTGAACATTCTGGATGGCTGTGTGAATCTTTTGTTTATTAAGGAAGACAAAGTTGTTTCTCCCTATCATTGTTGCTTCTCGGGCAGTGTGCTTTGAATATGAATTTGGCATGATTTGATATGAATGCAGGAAACGATTCCTGAAATTATATTCAGGGAAAAAAATCCTGATAGTATTTGTCTAGAAGTGCATAGTTTCTGGTTTGTACATAAATTTGTACGTATCATCTGGGGATGGGGAAGACATTGGATGGATTCTGTATTTTATTAGTGTAGCTATTCATGCCTGATGTTATTTTTATGATTGATGATGTGATGGACCTATTTACAGCAAAAATAAGGTTCATTCAGCATTTGGTGTGTGTTTAGGCTCCAAAGTCTCAAATGGCTAGGGATTCTTATTCCCAAAAACCTCTGGATGATGGGCCTGGGTTTTCTAAGGGATCTGTACTTTTACATGGAGAATTAGATTTATGGATTATAGAAGCAAAATCTCTTCCGAATATGGATTTAGCTTCAGAAAGAATAAGAACGTTTGCTACTATGTTTGGGGCATTCAGAATTCCTTTCACGAAAAAGAGTAAGAAACCAGACAAGTATTCAGGAAGACACTCAATCAATACAAGTGATCCCTACGTGTCTGTTTGCCTAGCAGGGGCTACTATTGCTCAAACTAGAGTAATTGCTAACTCTGAGAACCCTTTGTGGGATGAGCATTTTTGTGTACCGGTTGCTCACCATGTCTTGGAACTCGAGTTTCAGGTCAAGGATAATGATGTTTTCGGAGCTCAACTTATTGGAATTGTGGGGATATCTGCCGAGAAAATTCTTTCAGGAATTGCAGTAATTGGTTGGTTCCCTATAGTGGGACCTCATGGGAATCCTTTGAAACCATATCCTGAATTGCATCTTTGTGTTCAATTCAGGCCAGTTGGAGAGAACCCTTTCTACAAGGATGGTGTTGGCATTGGGCCGGACTATGCAGGAGTGCCTAATACATATTTTCCCCTCCGTCAAGGAGGGAGTGTAACTCTTTATCAGGATGCCCATGTTCCTGACGCGATGCTCCCTGAAATTTTACTAGATGGTGGAAAAGTTTTTCAGCAAAATAAATGCTGGGAAGACATTTGTCATGCCATATTGGAAGCTCACCACCTGATTTATATTGTTGGGTGGTCCATATACCACCCTGTAAAGCTCGTGCGGGAGCCAACAAGGCCGTTGCCTTCTGGAGGAGAGCTTTCCCTTGGAGATTTGTTGAAATACAAATCGCAGGAAGGAGTTCGTGTGATTCTGCTAATTTGGGATGATAAAACTTCACATGATAATTTTTTTCTGAGAACGGTAATGGCTGTTGCTTTCTGAAAAAAATTGTTTCTATTTACATTGTCTGTTAATTAATTATGTGATTGCATTTTCTTTTTTGAGTACTGAACCCTTTTTCTTAGTGGTGTATATGGATATTTGGATGGATGGAATGTGGAGTTCCTTGTGAAGTTCATGATAGATACATTTATGCATCATATTAAATAATAGGCTTGAATGCAGGAAGGTGTCATGCAGACTCATGATGAAGAAACCAGAAAATTTTTCAGACACTCAAGCGTCCATTGTGTGCTCTGTCCTCGTTATGCCAGCAATAAGCTTAGTATTGTCAAACAACAGGTGCAGAATACTTTTTCTATATTTGTACAATATAAATATGTGGTTATGGAAAAGCTACTTTGATGTATCCCTTTGAAACTTTCATATTTGTGAAGGAATTGTATTCATTCAGCTATGCTTTTATTACATACTAATTAGATACCAAACAACAGATTGTCTAATTTGATGAATTTAAATAAGATTCCGTTCACTGATTTGGATGAACCTTTCTAGTCCAGGTCGTGGGAACTCTTTTTACACATCATCAGAAGTGTGTGCTTCTTGACACTCAAGCTAGTGGAAATAATAGAAAAATTATTGCTTTTATTGGTGGTCTGGATTTATGTGATGGCCGATACGATACTCCGGAGCACAGGCTCTTTAATGATCTGGACACCGTCTTTGCAAATGATTTTCATAATCCTACATTTACTGTAAGTGGTTGTTGAATTTATGTTTTGGCTGCATGATTATTTGAAATTGAGCCTTTTTGGCATTGATCGCTTCTATTATGTTTGAATCACATTTATTTAATGGGTTTATTCGATTTCTGGAAAATTATTTGGCTATCATGCTATTAAATTATTTGTCAAAAAGAACAAGTTTTCTTTTTTAGATGTGCAAATTTTAATATATGAGCTTCTGTGACATCTTGTCATGCATGTATATGACATTTATACACATATTGTTTACAACCATCTACTCTAAGAGCTTAAGCTTTTAAAGTAGATGGTTGTTAACATGGTATCAGAGCAGGCAATGTCTTGTGTTCAAACCTCACCTTCACCCTGGGGTTTTGTATTGAAGGATATAAATATTAAAGTTACACCCTCTCTAACAGTTTAAGCTTTTAGAGGAGATGGTTGTTAACACACACACGTATATATTAAAATCTTCTTTTCGTAGATGAGTTTTAATTTGTATGAACACTGGCTGAGAAAACAATATGTGTTTGTAAGTAGAAAGGATAGATGTGTTTGAAAACTTCTACCTAAATAATCTATTCCAGAGATAATATATTGGCATGTCAGAAATTTTGATTTAGCGAAACCCAATTTGATTTGCTAGGAACTATATGGATGAGTTCGGTAAGATTTAATTTTAAATAGAAGAATTTTATTCATACTGGGATCAATTTTGTATCCATTTTGGATATTGTATTTCAATATAAGAAGCGTCAGAGACGTGATTATGGACATGAATGTAGTTCTTATGTATTCAAATGACCATAACAGTTTTATATCATTTTCATCAAGGAATATCCTTAATACGTCGGCAATAACCTAGCACTTGTGAGCATGCTATTATGTAGTAAAGTAATCAAAATCAGACCACCTGATATGGCCCTGAATTGCAGCCAGCCTCTTTTTCCTCTTAACAGTACAAATGAGTAGTTGTCAGCTTGTTCATTGGAAGGCAAGGTTGTTTACTCCCATGTATCATTATGAATTGCTGCTGCTATCATTTCATCTATTGCATTTTTAACCTAAAAGACGATAACAGTCTTCACGAATAGCCATACTGCATTTTCCATAGCATTTGAAGTGAAAATTTATCTTCTGGAAGGGGCCATTACGGGAAAGGGGAGGCTCTGCAAGTTCATTTTTTATAGTGTGGAATAATTTTATTATCTTTTGGGATGTCTGAAGTTTAAAATAGTTTACTGGATGTGTGACATGGCTTCCAGTTTTACTAACGGCTCCATGTAGACGATGAATTTCTAAGGTGGTTGTCATGGACAATGTAATGAGGCCATGCAATATCCGTATTATCAAACGGCATCTGTTTGTATCCTTGTTCCTTCCCCTAGTGTTGGATGTCATAAGGTGATCACATGGTGAATGTCTTTGTAATATTTCTTTAGGCTGCCATCATGTACTGGATATTTCATTGTGTATCTGCTGTGTTGCATTTACTTTTATATACCATCATAGATTACAAAAAATTGCAGAACACAGCTTTAAAAAGTTGTATTGCAAAATCTACTGCTTTGACAGTTGGTATTCCCGGTAACATGTACAGTCTCATGCCCGTGGCCCAAGGGAACCATGGCATGATATACACTGTAAAATTGAGGGTCCTGCTGCTTATGATATATTGACAAATTTTGAACAAAGATGGAGAAAAGCCACAAAATGGCGCCAATTCAAGTTGAAGAAGGTTGCACATTGGCATGATGACGCCTTGATAAAGCTAGATCGGATATCATGGATACTCACTCCTTCTTCTGGTCCTGACGGTGACCGAGTTGTGCGAGTTACTGATGAAGAAGATTCTGAGAGTTGGCATGTGCAGGTAGGGGAATGTGTACTTCTCTACAGTATCATTTACCTACCACCTTACCTTTTGCTAGATTGATTAAACATAAATTGTGATTAGTGGTTAATTGTTCTTTCCAGGTGTTCCGGTCAATTGATTCTGGATCTGTGAAGGGATTCCCAAAGGATGTTATGGAAGCTGAGCAACAGGTTAGACTAAGCTTATGCAATGCTTATGGAGTTCATTATCTAATCGAGTAGTTTCAACCAGGTTTTTGTCAATGACTCTTGTGCCTGTTGGTGTATATTATGGGAAGTGCGCTGAATGAAAATTTATACACGTAATATGGCGTCTTTAATCACCCTTCTATTGCAGAATCTTGTCTGTGGAAAGAACTTGCAAATAGAAAGAAGCATACATACTGCATATGTAAAAGCAATTAGATCAGCTCAGCACTTTGTATACATAGAAAACCAGTATTTTCTGGGATCTTCATATTACTGGCCATCATACAAAAATGCAGGTGGGTAAAGCATTGTGTTTTGAATTTCATGTTCTGGTGAATTTTTGTTGGTACTGGGCTATGACCTTTAGACTTAACTTGATTGCTGGATGACTATATCATTCTTTAACACAAATATTGTTGTCATCTATGGATATATGAGATTGAATGTTTATGATCCAAAAATCTCATAGAGGTATGAAAGTAGGTAATATATGGTTTGGTATCACTATCTTTTACTAGGATCATCTCATATTCATTGGTTTAATTGTTACTAGTTGTGAATTTAGGAATCAGCAGGTAATTCGGTTCCAGCTTCTTGTGTAGGGAAACATAAAACCTAGATAATTTAACTGAAGTCCAAAGAAATAGTTTCGTTACTGATGCAAATAAATAGAAAAAAATGAAAAAGGAAAAGGAAAAATGGAATTTGGAAAACCAAATTGGTGTCTGCCCCCAAAATTCCATCAAAGGGTCAAATGGACAAACTAGAAGCACTCTAGTGAATGCTCGGAGTATGCTCTGATACCACTTGATGTAGGACGAAAATACGTGATACCCACTGATGAAGGACGAGGACAATCTGATAGCAATTGATGTTGAAAACAAAGAAAGAAGGGTTTGAGAAGACAAAAGATGAACGGGGCTAGAAGAAAGGGAATGAGAAGGCCAATGAAGGAGTTGAGTAAATAGATTGAAAAGGTAGACTGCAGAGACTGAAGGGCTTGAAAGGAGCAAGAACAATAGAGAGAGAAAAACAAGAAAAGAGAATTATGAAATCACGATAGTATTCCAATAATCAAAGCTGAGTAGTTTAGTTACATAATAGCCTTTATATAGGAACCTTAAAATAATAAGTACTAAAATGACCCTAAATTCAGATGAACCCTAATTTCACATATCTTTGTCTCTTATCCAAAATTAAAGGGGAATACGATGCTGCTCGCGCATGCGAGTCATTATATGATCTCTAAGACTCTATCAATTCTCCTTGACTGAGAAGAACCTTTCCTTTGGAGAATAAAACTGATTATTGTGTCGAAAGGTTGAAATGAGAAACACCACTCTGATGCTCAAATATCTCCCCAATCTATTCCATGTATTATGGCTGAAATGATGGAATAACATGTGATGTTGCAGAACAAGATTTAACTCCATTGTGGGAAAACAAGCTAACAAAGTAAGCGGCTCAAAGGTGTCTTAGTTAGCTGACAAACACTCCATGTGAAAAACTAGACTGATACTATTATCTGATGGCAATTCAAATAAATATGATTAGGTCTTGATTTGTAGATGATGTGGAAACTGGAAAGGTCCAGTAACTTGGGCAATGGGCATTTAATGTCTGGAAAATTAAAAGAAAATTGTGGGTGTACATGATTTATTACATAATCTCCTACAATGAATTCATGATTCCAACTATGAAAATGGGCAACAAGTTTGTAATTTTTGTTACTTGCACCATATTTTAGTCGTGTATCAGCATAAAGTTCATGAACAAGTTGAGAATACATTTAAATCCATAAAAGTATGGAGGCGAAGGAATATGATCAATGGACTGGCAAGAAAGAAAATCATATATAATCTCAAAAGAGCAATTACCATTATTCCATTTGACTAAATTATTATAAACAAACTCCATAATAGGTAAAAACAAGTCCCAAGGTTCCAACCACTTTCCTACAAGAAACTTAACCAAATTTTCTAGACCTTGCTTAATAACCTCAATTTGCCTATCAATCCGAGGATGCAATGAGGAGGAAAATTTCAAATTCGTTCCTAGAAGTGTCTTTCAAAAATTGTTTTTGCTTGACATCTCTATCTGACACAACAGAAGTGGGTAACTCATAAGTACAACACGTTTCCTACAGTGTATGGGATAATGTAGGGTGGTGGAGCATTTAACACCTTATCAGATGGGACATGAGAAGCTTCCTTAGCCAATTTTGTTTCTTCTTTGGTTAAAATGTGTTCTTTAGCACAAGGCTGAGAAGAAGACCTATGTGGTGCATTAGAGTCCTTTTTTAAATGTCTTTGCAGGTCTTAACATGAGAGCTCTACTGTTATACTTTAAGCTATAGGTATTCTCTTTGCTATGATGAGTCCCATTTGAAAATCATAGATTCAAGGGCAACCAAGTAGCACGTGAACTACATTCAAGGACAGACATCACAACAAATCTTATCATAGTAATCACCCATTTGAATAAGAACTAAACATCTCTAGGAGACAGTCAAGTAAGATTCTTCCACCAAGGCAACGTTATATGGTTGTGGGTGAAGTTGATGGTTCATTCTACTTTCACCTAATTTTAACACTACATTTATTGAACTTTCTCACAGACACGGGACACGGATACATTACGATACAAATACGATGATACGAAAAATCTAAAAAGAAATAGGACATGGACATGGACATGGCAGGAATACGTCAGTAAAATAATAATATAATAGTATATAAAAAAGAATTATTTTTGCTCATTTTATCCAAATTATCATCTATATAGTTACTAATTTGGAGCTTAAAGTTGCATTAGTGTTGTTTTTTGTTTTATAAAATTTGATATTATTTTTCTATTAACTCATAGCATCTCTTAAAATTGTTTAAAAAAACAATTACAAACTCCCTCATGGTGTCCCAAACATGTCCTAACTGTATCCATGTCATGCGTTCAACCTGGTTCCACACGTGTTCGTGTCAGGCACGTGCTGGACACAACCAAGACATTCCCTAGAGGAGTGTCTCTGCTTCCTAGTCCTCCATCAATAATGGTTTTAAAGATTTTATTTCCGCATTTAAGTCATGTTTGAAATAGGCTAGTGTAAAAGAATTTGATGGAATGTGCAGGAATGCACATGAACAATGAGAAGCGAAACATTGTTCCTGTTCTCATTTTCTTTCCAATTTTTTGCATGGCCAGAAAATGTTTCAATCTTATTCTAGTCATCTAGGAACTCAGGTGGATACCTACATTCGAACACTCGATGGGGTTTAGACAATTGAGTGTCTTTTAGAAGGCTTATGGACTTGACCTTTTCTAAAGTTGGTGTTTCTCGTTTCAAGATATCTAGATGATCATGGAACAGAGAAAAATACCAAAATGGTGGTCTCAAAGAAATTGTGAAGGGCTAACAATGGATATTACTGGAATGTGCTGATATATGAATTAAAACTGAATTTAGTAATGAAATTATAAGTACAGAAATGCTACACAGGTGACTGCAAAATCTGTGGAATTAAATGTAGGTGACAATAGCCAAATTAAGCATGGTAGTGGTTATAGGCAAATAAAGAGAGAGAGAGTTACGTAGTGAAGGTCAATGAACAGGGAAACAATGGATAAGGAGAAAATATTAGATGATCTTGTATTAAAATATTAAACATGGATTTAATATTACAAAGACATCTAAACATGAATTAAATATTATCACAATTCTCAAGGGAGTAGCATATCTTTTCCAAGACCAAAGGTAATTTGTCTAAACGAAAGAACACTCCAAAGTCCAGAGTAACTCCACAAGTTCACTGGTAAGTACTGGACTGGGTTTGGGTTGCTCTAGTTCATTAGGTTCTGGGCTCAGTCCGTGTTTAGAACATGGTGAACGAAGTTGGGCTAGTCCGGGGCTAAAATAGGGTTTTATTGAAAATTGATTTACATAATATAGTCTACATTAATTTGGATTTATACCAGGGGGCTAATAATGGAAGTCATTTACTTACTAAGGAGACCAATGGAAAGGCACTGAAATGCGAGGATATATCTTCATATGGTTTTATACATTTGATGAAAACTCTGATTGGTAAAGATAATATACAGTGGGTTAGCATGTATTATGGAATTATAATTATAATAAGAATGACTAGTGAAACAACAAGTGGAATTCCAACTACTATTAGCTTATATCAAGGATGAACATTAAACCCATCTCTCTTGATCAAATCATGACCAATCATTGCATTAATAAGGAAGAGTAATGTGGTCCTCATTTAGTGTAATTTTATGGGAATGAAAAAACAAAAGATAACGAGGATTGAGATGGTATGAAAAGATATGATAGCATGTAGTTTGGCCGAGGTTATGATTGTAACTACAATGGAATGGCCAAAACAGGATTAATGTTGTCAATGAGGAAATGGTTTTGATGAGTTGATTTCTTTAAAAAGAAAAATTGTATGTGCTCAAATATTTATTTCTACTTTGCACAACTCATGTATGTGTCCTGAGACTATGCTAGCTTCCCTGTAACAATATGAAATTTAACTGTCAATATTTGGCAGTTTCCTCATCCTTTTGTTTTGCTTTTTCTTCCTTTTACTATCCTTTGATCATTTCTGTATTCTCCCCTGTAACTTGGCTCATGCTAGACCTTCTTACTGAATTGTGAAGACACTATATTCTAATGCCTCTTAAAACCTTTTTCGCTTGGATCAAGTTTAAGAATCATATATATTTGTCAAAAAATGCTAGCATATGCGCTTGGGAGTGACTTTGAGATTTCAGCTTTATTGCTATCAGGTGCACATAATCTAATTCCTATGGAACTTGCCTTGAAAATTGCCAGCAAAATCAGATCAAATGAACGGTTCTCTGTGTATATTGTCATTCCAATGTGGCCTGAGGGTGTCCCCAGTAGTTCTTCCGTGCAGGAAATACTTTTTTGGCAGGTTATACTGATTTCTCATTTCTCTGTAGCCATTTTATTTTACATCCGCACCTTATTCTGTATTTAATATGCTCACCACTTTCTAGCTTCAAAATTCCTGCATTTAGCTGAGTTAGGTTGTAAATATCATATTTATTATAGACTTATAAAAAAAATATAATATTTATTAAAGACGAACAGGGCATCATCCCTGTGAAGGGGTGGGTCACTTAGTCACTGGTTCAATCATTGGGTTGTCAACTGAACCACTGATTATAACCATAAATCCTTTCAAATATATGTTATATATATTATTCTCAAACAAAATAAACTTGTTGAGCTTTTATAAGAAGTTAGAATATATTACAGCCGGAATAGTGGCAAGGCATTTGTGTAATTCACTCATTAGACCAAGGCGGCCTGCGTCTCCAAAGGCCTGCCTGTCATATTTCTGACAGTCAAAGCAGATTGGCTAACTGGTTCAATTCATTTAGTCATCTGACTGATTTCGCTGATTCACCCCCAGTTTGTTCTGGGTCATCGACTTAAATGATACAAATAGAGAATCGAATCTGCTCAGTGGCCGGTTCATAATTTCTCTGGCCTGACCAGCCAATATGGCCCACCATTTCTGATACTGTGCTAATAATCTTTTGAGCATGGCTTTTATTTATTTATTCTTTTAAGGGGTTTCCCTTGCGTGGTTTTTAAGGTTAATCTGGAATCGAAATGACCACAGGGACAAACAATGGCTATGATGTACAAAATTATTGCACAGGCTCTTGAAAAGGCAGGTCTTTCTGAAGTGTATCACCCACGGGATTATTTGAACTTCTATTGCCTTGGTAAGCGTGAAGCTTCATCTCCAAGCAGTACACAACAAACTAATCAGCCTCCTGAAAATCGTGCACTGGTATAGTATTTTTTTCTTGTTCTGGGAAACTACTAGTAAGGTGGCTATCAAATTATATACTCGCCTCGGACACTGAGTGGTTGCTTTCTTTTTCAGATAGTAATTGCTCTAATTCTATTTAGAAGTTATTCCCTATAGATCTGAATGATAGCCAAAATAGAATGCGTAGAATCGTATATAGATAAAATGATATTGTTGGATTTGTTTTTTCCTTTTTATCCTTTTTGTTCCTTCAAGGGCTTCCCTTGCATAGTTGTATTGCATGGGCTTCCCTCAATCCCACCATAAAATTGTATGATACTAAGAGGACCCAAATGAAAGAGAAATGGAAAAGAGGGATGGACTTCAGGTGGCTGTTATCGTAATTGCATTGCATGGGCTTCAGCAGCCGTTACCATTGTGCACTACCCATTATGACGAGCATTATGTTATCTGAATTCTTGAGAGAGTGTAAGAGAATAATCATGCATGAATAACTAAACTGCTTTAAATTACAATGAGGTAACCTGATATGATGGATGCTGAAAGGATTGTGATACAATGGCAATATCAGCACGAAAACTTCAAAACTGGTTACAAGAAGAAATAAAATGAAAAAGAGGTATGGACACAAGTCACACAACCACAATGTTAGTTGTGGCTCTGTCAGAAGTTGAATAAACATAATGCATTACTCTCACTTTGATTGTTCTCTCTCTCTCTCTCTCGCTCTCTCTCTCTTTTCTGAAGAAGGGGAGGGGTAAAAATGTTCTATTTGTAGACATTAACAGGTCCATGTTGGGTTTGTTTCATCATACTTCTTCACAGATTCATGTAATATTTTAGTTCATTATAAACTTCCAATCTATTTGCTCACAAAATGAACATTTTGATCCCCTTTGTTTGACTCTTCCACTTTCATGGTGCAGGCTTCAGCTCAAAAGTACCGCAGATTTATGATCTATGTACATGCCAAAGGGATGATAGTTGATGACGAGTATGTGATGATGGGATCTGCAAATATAAATCAGAGATCTTTGGATGGTTCAAGGGACACAGAACTTAACATGGGTGCCTATCAACCAAAGTACACTTGGGCAGGAAAGAAGAGTCACCCACGTGGTCAGGTTTGAAGCTTAAACTCATCTTGTCACTTGAGAATGCCCAATGTGGAAAATGTATAGTACAATGGTTTGATCCTTCGTAATGAAGATCTATGTTGGAAATTTGTTAGGAGTTCTCTGTTGTTGAAGGCATAAATTATAAATTGATTAAACTGTGATTGAAGGTTAACTATCTAATCAAATATTAATTTATAGAAATTCAAATAAAAAAGAAAGATTTGACGTTATTCAATTTTTTTTGACATAATGTTCAAGATTTAGTTGAAAAACATCAAGAAGATTGTGCTACAAGCCTAGAATTTACAAGGTTTGGACAACGATGATTGCATTCGTGTAATTCATATTAGGCGTACCATATATCATTCAGGTTTTTCTGAACTATATATCATATTTCACAGAGGTGAAACATTTGTGAAGGTGTAAAGAAGTTACGTGTGTGAATTGGAATTAGTAGTTTGTTTCCTTTTTGTTTTTCTGTTTTTTCAGGCTTGCAGCTTAATGATATAGAACATGTTAAATTGACATATAAATGTGCAATATAACATGTGATGTTCAGTAAGATCTGCTTTACCATCATAGGAACTTAGATGGAGATACTTTGAGGATGGAGAACCAAAAAAGGGAAGAAAAAGAAGTGAATTAATGGAAGAAGAGAAGAGGGTAATATGTATTGGTTCTCTTACCCTCTTAGTTGGCCATCCCTTGACCAATTGGCAGTTTGTACGTGGCATGACATTTGTTTAATTTCTTTACACATCCCACTTAAAAAATAAAATAAAAAACCTTTACACATAAAATGATTAGTTTATTTACTTTTTTTCCCTGAAAACTTAATCTTGGAATTCAATGATGGAATGTTCATTCAGTTGGCTAATTTGAAACTATGTTCAGTTTCTCCAGGATGGAATGTTGTCAGTGCCTTTATATTTTCTTTTCGCACTGCGATGATATTTCTTTGGGTGGGGTTGGATGGGTATAGGAGGGGTTAATATTGGGTTTCCGTTGGAGGGATTTGAACATAACATGGTTTTTGGTACATAGGGCTTGCAACACAAGATATTAGAATTCATGTCCTGAACTGAGCTCTGGTGGCTGGATATGTGGCTTCTCTGACATTCCATGTTATATCTGTAGCAGTAAAGTTTCTATTATTTTATTTATTTATTTATTTTTTCTGAGAAGTCCAGATCATAACCCAATGCTCTCAAACGTCAGAGTACGTATGGTTCAATTTAGACCTAGGGGTGAATTAAAATTCCGTGATAAAAAACCTTAATTTTGAAAAACATGTTTAAAACATTATTTTGAGCCTTTTCAAAGTTCAAACCAAGGTCATAGATGGTCAATCAAGTCTCATCTTACCTTAATCTAGATATATAATTGAGCTCGGGAGATCTTTGGTGTGTTCTTCGTTATCTCCATCATCTTCTTTTGGTTGTAAGACAAATGACTCGACATTTAGAACAAAATTTGACCCTAGTTTTGACTAGGAATTTGCCAACGTATGATTCAATAACCTAAGTTAACTAAATATTTGTTTGGTGGATACCATATTGGTAACCCATACTGTTCCACCTAGAAACGTCATTTAGGACTAAAATAATATTTCATATTAATCAGAAACGTAAAGTTCTATATGTAAAGGTAAATCATGATGTGTCTATATTAGTATATTGGACATATTACCAGCAAAGGGTAATTGTCTAATTGACTCATATAGAAGTGCACATCAATAACAGAGCATGAATATCAATGACCGATCAAAGTATCTAAGATCTAAATATATGCTCACGTCATTGCATATTTATCCATTTCAACAATGTTGTTGGAACTTGGATGCAGGTTTATGGGTATCGGATGTCTCTCTGGGCTGAACACCTTGGCCATCTGGAGGATATCTTCCGCGAGCCGGAGACTCTTAAATGTGTTAAGCTTGTAAATAAGATTGCAAAACATAATTGGGAGGCATATGTGGCGGAGGAGGACAAGGAGATGAGAGGTCATCTTATGCAATATCCAGTTCAGGTATGTAGAAGCGGAAAGGTCTGTGCATTGCGGGGTCATGAATACTTTCCTGATGTTGGTGGTAAGATTCTCGGAGCACCTACCAGTCTTCCTGATGCTCTCACAACGTAGTAATCTCATCAGTGCTAGATGAAGTCAAAACACAAATTGCTGCAAGTTCAAATGCCCAAGTACTTTTGAAGGAAAAAAGGGCACGATACATGGTTCGAAAAGAAAGGCAGCTAAGGAGGAGGGTTGAGGAAGGATGCAATGCTAAACAAGGTTCCTGAAAAGGTTCCACATCCGTCAATTCGCCTGACTGATCATCATTGAGAACTGAGAGCAATGGGGTCGAGTGTAACTCAATTATGTATATGCTCTGTGTTTCTTAATGACATTTCCTGTAAAGGAAGGGTATGATGTTAAACTTTGAAGTCAGCAAATGGATGGAACTTTGTATATTGATACAATGGCAGTGTAACTATTGAGTTCTGTGGTATCTGAAGTTTCATTGAGATGAATTGCCAAGCATTTATCTCGTCTTTGACATCCGATTAAATGTTCCATGAACAAAAAGATGAATGCACAAACCGGTGCATCTGAATGTGTATGCACAGGGATTCTGAGAATGGAGAGCAACGCATATCATTTGTGTATACTATCAACAAAAGCGATAGGCCGGCTTTTTGAGGTTACAAGTTGGATGAAGAAAACGTAGACAATCAAGGGTATAATGGGTTCTTGTGTTCGGTGTCCAACCAGTTTTTTGAATGAATTTTTAGTGGAAAGACTTGATACAAATTATGTGGAGTTCCAAATAATAGAAGACAACGAAATTAGATTGTAAGGCATGTTATTTATATTTGATGAGATCCATCTAGTAATGTAAAAAAGAAGAATAAAAAGTGAGATCTGTCACTAAAAGTATACTTATCTGTTCATAAACTTATTGTGGGGAGCAGTTTTGAAAGCACTGAAACTCGTTATACTCTTTCTCAACATAGTGAATTGTTTTGACATGATTATAATTTGAACATGGTTAAATCAAACCTAAAGCCATTTCTTCCATGTCGTATTCGGATCGTGTTAACTTATTGATGTCAAATATTGCATCGTTCACTACCATCATCATCCAAAAACACAGTTATATATTATTTCACTGACAAGGAGAAACTCATTATTGACCTTGCTCCACTCGGGCCATTGTTAACCTTTAAGACAGCCTATACAGCTCCTGCAGTTGAGGACAGCATAGAAGACCTCTCACAGTCTGATTTTGAAGATGGCCCTGACTCTGAATCCAACTCACCTGTTGCAGATAAAGAAAAACCCCCTCAAGAAGAGACAACCACCAGTAGGAAAATGAAGAAAAAGCATAGGGGCTCAGGGAACAGCAAGAAGGGAATAATGCTCCCAAGTGGCAAATTCTTTAACAGTGCTAAATGGTACTAGCCATTTGGAACATTAGAGGACTTAATGGCCTTGACAAGCAGAGAGAAGTCAAAGCTCTCATGAAGGACAACAAGGTTTAGGTAATGTCCATTATTGAAACAAAAATTAGCTTGCATAACTTGGAATCGGTTCACAAGTTTCTAGCCAGTTCATGGAACCTAGCCCATAACTACAATCATTCACCACTTGGAAGAATATGGATCCTTTGGAGCCAGAACACAATTGACTTACATGTCATCCACCAAACAAGGCAAATGATTCATTGTTCAGCCACCATTTTGAGCTCAAGAACTAAATTTTATATCTCATTCATCTATGGAGCCAATGCTGCTGAAGAGAGGAAATCACTTTGGAATGATATCTTTAGCCTTTCACCCACTTTGTCTACATCTCCTTGGATCTTGGCTGGGGACTTCAATATCATTAAGTTTCCACATGAGAATTTTGGGGGCTCTGATAGGGTTTCTCAACTTATGATTGAGTTTCGAGAATGCTTACACAAGGCTAACCTTGAAGATCTCAAATTTACTGGCCTTCTCTTCTCATGGACTAATAAAAGCTTGGGGGTAGCCAATATCTCAAGGAAATTAGATAGAGTACTAATCAATGAAGCATGGCACAGAATCTTTCCACTTTCAAGTTGTCATTTCCACTCCTATGGCATTTCTGATCACAGCCCAGTCATTATTACCTTGGGCACACCCAATCCTCAGAGGAAAACCCCTTTCAGGTTCTTTAATTGCTGGAGCAAGCATGAGAATTTTTTAGCAATTGTGAAGGCTGTACGGGACACTCTAGTCTCAGGGCATAAAATGTTTCAAGTTGTCTCTAAACTCAAAATGCTTAAACACCCTCTCAAGCAACAATTGGCCACATCCTACTCAGAAATCTCTGAGAAAGTGAAGATTGCAAAAAATGATCTCCATGCATGCTAATCAACCCTTGATTCTCTACCCACAGACAACCAGTTGAGATTGAAGGAAAAGGAACTCCTATACAACTACAAGAAGCTTAAGGAAGCTGAGGAGTTAACATTCAAGCAAAAATCCAGGATTCAATGGCTCAAGGTAGGTGATTCTAATACTTCATATTTCTTTAAATCCATGAATTCCAGATTCAACAAGAATAAGATCACCAGCATCTTGGATTCTAATGGCTCTCTACTTGACACTGAAGTGCTAATCAAGCAAGAAGTAATAAGTTACTTCAAAGGCTCTTTAAGTTCTTCATCTCACAACTATCCTGGCCCACAAAGCCTCTCTCCCTACATCAACCAAACTATCCACCCTGATTACATTCCCTCACTCCTTGCAATACCATTCATTGAAGAAATCCATAAATGTATGTTCTCTATGAACAATGAAAAATCTCCTGGCCCTGATGGATACAATGCTGTATTCTTTAAGCAAGCTTGGCCAATCATTGGTTCTGATGTCACTAAGGCAATTCAACAATTCTTCACTTCAGGTAAGCTACTTCAGGAAATCAACAATTCATATATTTCCTTGGTCCCCAAAATTCCAAATCCTTCCTCAATGCAAGATTTCAGACCAATCTCATGCTGCTCTATATTGTATAAATGTAATTCAAAGCTACTAGCCAACAAGATGAAACCAGTTCTACCATCTATTGTTAGTCAATCACAATCAGCATTTGTTCAGGGCAGAAGTATAGATGACAGTATTTTACTGGCCCAAGAGCTTTTCAAAGGGTATCATAGGAGTTTCTGCTCTCCTAGATGTGCTCTAAAGCTTGATTTGAGGAAAGCTTTTGACTCTATTTCATGGAGTTTTATTCTGGACACCCTTAGATTGCTTGGCTTCCCCTTTACATTTGTTAATTGGATTCAGGCCTGTATTATTTCCCCTTCATTTACCATCTCTCTCAATGGGGAGTTCAATGGTTTCTTCAAGGTTGCTAAAGGACTTAGGCAAGGGGACCCTCTTTCTCCCTTCCTTTTTGTAATTGTAATGCAGGTGTTCTCATCAATTCTAAACATGACTACAGCTACCAACACATTTAAATATCATTAGAGATGCAGAGAGTTGAGTCTTACTCACTTGGTTTTTGTTGATGATGTCATGTTGTTTTGCCATGGTAGCCTCCCCTCTGTCCAAATCTTGCTCAATGCCACAGAAATCGTCACTAGTCTGTCTGGACTCCAAATCAATCAACACAAGAGTAACATATTTCTTGCTGGAGTGAAGCCTGATGTTGAAGTTGCATTTCTCAACTTGGTTGGGTTTGAAAAAGGATCACTTCCTATCAGATATCTTGGAGTTCCCCTTATCTCAACTATGTTTAAAGCAACAGATTGCAGGGCCCTCACAGACAAAATCACAGCCAGGATTAGGCACTGAACAAACAAGTTTTTATCCTTTGCTGGAAGACGTCAACTCCTCAAATCCATTCTCCACAGCACACAAGTTTATTGGAGTTCCAAATTCATACTTCCAGTTTCTGTTATTAATAAAATGACTTGCATTTTTAGATCATTTCTTTGGATAGGTCCTGAACTCAAAAAACATGGAGCAAAAATCCTATGGCCATCTGTTTGCTTACCAATTAAAGCTGGTGGTCTGGGGATTCCCTCTCTCAGGCCTTAGAACAGGGTTGCAATCATGAAGCATCTATGGAACATCATCAACCAGAAGGAAGGAATGCTTTGGGTCACTTGGGTTAATATATATCTTTTGAAAGGAAGAAGCATTTTGGAGGTCCACATCCCTGGCCAATGTTCATGGACTTGGAGGAAATTACTTCAACTTAGAGCAGCTATTAGACCTCTTGTCAGATTCGAAATTGGTGATGGAATGCTTACCAATTTCTGGTATGACAATTGGTCTTCCATTGGTCCACTCCATCTCAGGATCTCCAGTCAACAGTTGGATCAATCTTCTTTTGATACCAAGACAAAGGTTCAATCATTTATAGTAGGGTAATCATGGTCTTTCCCCACAGCAATCACTGATCTCATCCCCGAACTCCTCTCTCTAAGCTCACTTTCATCTCCAAACCCCAACATTACTGACAAAATTCTTTGGAACCCATCTCCCTCAGGAAAATTTTCAATAGCCCATACACTAAAATCCATGTCACAACATATCCCCTCTGTTCCATGTTCTAAGCTAATTTGGTCTAAACTAATGATCGCTAAACACTCTTTCATACTTTGGCTAGCAATTCAATCTAGACTGTCCACACTTGACCGAAGATGCACTTATTTCCTTAATTCCCCTAACCTCTGCCCACCCCGCTTATCTTCACCTGAATCCCATAACCACCTATTCTTTCAATGTGTGTTCCATAGCCCTATTTGGTCTTTCATTCAAGTTAGGTGTGGTTTTTACATTTTGCCATCTAACTGGAATGTATTGGTAGCTTGGGCGACTCAACACTTAAGAAACAATGCATCAGACTTCAGAGGATCACTTTCTCGCCTTGCACTATCTTCATTGGTCTATAATATCTGGGTAGAAAGGAACCGGCGAATCTTCAAGAAGAAGAAGACCTCTGCTAACTCTCTTCTCCATCGAACCATTGAACCAGTCAAATTTAAGATCATGGCTGAACCTCCTCTAAACACACCAATCAACAGATGCATTCTCCAGGAGTGGGAAATCCCAATCTCAATCCTTCGACCCCCTCCCAAACCACCAGATTAGATGGAAACGATGGAACATCCACCTTGCTATATCCACTGCTGTTCACCGGATTGCTGACTTGGTTCTTCTAAGTTTTGTTCTGTGACGGCCCAAGTTTTTCAACCCGGTGCGTCAGTGATGAACCAAAAGTTAATCTGATAACAGATCTGAAATGCGGAAGTAAAAGATAAAACAATAGTCCCTAGAGGTACAACACGTCTCTAAGACACTAATATGATCCTCAATGAGGTCACAAAACCAAAAGAAAACAAGTGCGGAAGTGACGCTTCAAAAATGGACAAAAAGGGACCTAGGGGTAAAATGGTCATTTCTAATATAAAGGTGAGTGTTACCGAGCACACCGTTGGAAAGACAATGAAAAATTAATTAATTTTTTAAAAAAATTCACTTGATTTGAAATCCGGATGAAGAAGTTATGGCTAACGGAAGAAGAAGGGGCAAAAAGATCAAAAGTAGCTAACCCTAGGTCATCTAAACGTTTAGGAAGCCTTTCTAACAGGTTAGAAGGCTAAAAATCACGTCCAACCCACTGATAAGTGCTTAAATGTTGCACATTTCAGCACCTAAGCTAAGGTATTTCAATCTTTGCATCTATCTTAATTTTATGTTTTAGTTCTAATTTATGTTTATGTGTATTTCAGGGCAATAAAGTTAAAATGAGCTAAGAACGGTCCAATTAAGTCTTTTTGGAGTTAAGCAAAGATTTTCAGACAATGGCACAAAGCGGTCAATTTCGGGCCTTTGATGATGTTCCCAAAGATGGAGAAGCAAACCAAATAGCCCGGGGCAAAAATGGAGCTGAATAAGGCTTAAAGGAATTTGTCAACTCTGGGGGGATCGATCCCCAG